TGACTCTAAACAAATTTTCCTCACAAAATAGGCTGCAGTTCAAAGATACGATTGTATCTTGTGCTGGTCTTTCTGCTACCAAAAGGTCACAATAGAGCCACTCTGCCTGATTTAGTCACCTCTATCATATTCTGCAGTCCAGATGCATTGTGTCCACATGGGTGGACACTGGTATATGCTTCCAAGAAAATAATGCTGCATAATTAAGCTGACTGATTTTTTTGAGGTGAGAGAGGCAATAGACCATTTGTTTCAATTTTAAAACTAAGTTTTAATTCAAGTATGGTATCAGTTATTATTTATATTTATTCTTCAATAGATAGTTCTAAAACCAGAGTTTTTGATCCAAGGCCCAAGTTCCTGAGATTCCTTATGCCAGGTCCGGCCACCTGCCCCTAAACACCAAGTCATGGTCAAAGTGAGGAAAGAGGTTAGCTACACAGCTCTGGACATGCAGTAGTTACAGGCAAAGTACTCAGTTCATCTTCAGCCATCTTTGGGGTATAGGTTCTAGATATGTGGTATAGGTTTAAATTGACAAAAACTTAGGGCCAGGGGGCAAAATGTAGGCATGTTAAACAGTTCTGGTCACAAGTGTGGTCTGGTTGGTCATTAGCTCAGTCTTTGTTCTGAGAGAGGTTCCAGAGTTGCAGGCAGTCATCGTAAGGAAGATCTACTGTTGGGTGTAGTTTCTGTCCCTTGCCATGAAGATGTTATCTGTCTTTCCTGAAATTTAAGGTGATTGCAAAGTGACTGCAAAGAAAATCTGTCTTAGAGCAAGGACAGATACAAAACAGAGACAAGGATGCTTCACTTCTCCTGTTTTTAGTTAATTTGTGGGTCCATGAAGGAATCAGTGCTTTTCAGCAAAAGCAATTTGAGTGCCTCTTACACTTCCTTATGTTCATAATGGATTTTATTTTCAAATGTTCCCCACTGTAAATATATCTGAAGTAAATTCTTAGAATTCTGAAAATAGAATGAACCTTAAGCACCTTTAAGTCAAATCTCATAACTTAATATAATAATTAATATAATTCTCCATTCTACCTTCATGGGTATTCTTCCTAATACATTGTGCCAGCTGCAATCAAAACTTTCCTTGACCATCAGAAAAGTATGAACCCTGTAGTATTTCATAATCTATATTGGGTGGAAAATGATATAACTTCTTTGTTTAAAATAGCACTTCTTTCATTACTCTGATCATTTTATTGATGCTTTCTGGTTATTTGTATTTCTTGTTTAATGACTTTTTCTAATCTTGTTTTCCCTGTTTGTCTATTTGCAGCTGTTTTTAATAATTTTTTATTAACTGTGTTGTGCTTCAAAACATCTGTAAATCAGTCATAATTTATTTAACAAGTGCACTACCATTGATATTTACATATTTCTTAGGTTTTCACTTGATAATCAATGTTATAATAAAAAAACTCATGCACATATATATTATTACTTCCCTAGGACAAATTTCCAGAATTTCACTTGGCTCTCAGTCTTTGCAGACATTTAAGGATTTTGCTTTATATCGTTTAAGTTCCCAGGAGAAAGAATGGCTAGCCCATGTGCCCATCTTCTTGGGCTATTCATATTTGCAGAGAATTTGCATATTTAGTTGCAGTTATAAGATTAGTATTGGAAAAGTTCTTCTGACAGAGTTTCCCCTCTAGTAGGATATCTGAACATATTAATCCTGTTGACAATGAAGGAGATAAATAGATGTCAAGCTTTCCAAAATTTGGGAAAAATACCTTCTAATAGTATTGTCCTCCCCACTCTACTCTTTGTTTTTGTTTGTTTGTTTAACAAAGACAAAAACCTATATTTGCACTTTGAATGGTGGGTTATGACTGAAAGAACTGAGTGGAATTAGAGTCTACTTGAATTTTGTCCTTTAGAGAATTCAAATTTAAGAAGTAAGAGGATTGTTACAAGTAATATCAACATGATCCAACCAACAGAACATTAGAATTGACAGGAAATGAGTCACTTCACTTAGCCAATCTCCCAGATACCACTTGCACATCACTCTTCAAAAGTAAAATTTCCTAAATGAATGAAAATATAAATATTTAAGTTGTTAAGCAAAAGTTATGCAAAGAGTATAGCTTCTTCTTCGGCCCTTTCTCTCCATCTAGCCTTCATTTACCTTTTCACCTGCTCTCATACTTACTAGTCATCTAGTATGTATTTCTACTTCACAGCATGCTTCAAGTTTTTTTTTAATTTTTTATTATTCATTTATTCACAAGTGCGTACATTGTTTGGGTCATTTCTCCCCCTTGCCCCCTCCCCCACTCTCTCCCCCTCCTCCTTATCTCTAATTTTGGAGATTAGAGAACCCGTTTTGCCCTTATCTCTAATTTTGTTGAAGAGAAGACATAAGCATAATAAGGAAGACAAAGCGTTTTTGCTAATTGAGTTAAGGACAGCTATACAGAGAGATTCCTAGTTTTTACAGTAGTCCATTGGACCAACTCCAAGTTGAAAACACTCCTTTTTCTTCTCTCCTTTATTGCCTTACTTCACATTTTATCTACACTTCACATTAACGTCTTGGTCCCCAGCCTATGACACTGTTAGAAGGCAGTGAAACATTTAGGATGTGGGACCCAGTGGGAGGAAGGTTATAGGGGGTATGCCCTTGAAAAGCATGTTGGGATCCAAACCCCTTCCAGTCTCCCTGGCAACTATGAGGTACACATGACTTTTCCAATACACATTCCTGCCATGATGTACTGTACTGCCACAGGCCCAAAGCAAAAGGGCCAAGTGACCATAATCTGAAAAATTTGAATCTGTGAATCAAAATAAAACTTTCCTCCTTAAAAATTGACTTATCTCAGGTCTTTTGTCACAGGGCAGGAAAGCTAATGCATGTACTTGTGCTAGAAGGTAACTTAAATAGATTTGGGTATTCACTTTCAGTTAACTCTCTGCAACTACTAAAAACAAACTTCTTTAAAGACCTTGTAGTTAGGTAGACCTGCAGGCAATACCAGTTAACTCAGCCCTTGTATATATTATCAGTCCTATAATCTGCCATAGATTAAATAGTCTGGCCTCCACACGACATAGACCATATAACTAATATACACTTGCTTTCTGGTCAGTTTTGTGAGTAACCACAGTGACTGATCTACTTTCTCAGTGCCCAACTTCACATGTATTGCAGCGTTCTTTTAACATGAAAATTTAGAATAGTCTTTCTTTCATCCTCAGTTTATTACTTTTGTAATTCAATTTAAATGGCCTTCATTAGTGCCTGTTGGGTAAATGTGTACTAGCACTATCTGCTAAGAAGGGTTACTACAGGGTTTAATGAGATAGCAGCTTTTATGGGAACCATAGGCAAATAATATTTGAAAGACACATAAGACATACTAATAACAGCAACCTGTTATTGATGTCTGCTAGGTATCAGACAAAAGTCAAGTGGACTTTCATTTTTCACAATAATAACTTAACAAGGTAAGTATTCTATTTCCATTTTGGAGGGTCAGACATGTTAAGTGATATTTCCAAGTTCAAGCACCTAGCAGCTGTCAGAGTCATGTGGTGTTGTTTTAAGATTTAAGAGATCTTGGCACACTCTTTGTTTCCATTCACATTATAGCATACACATTAAAATGAATACACTTCTCACATTAAATATGATTTTTCCTATAAAAATGTAACAGACTTTTCATTTGTTTTTGAAATTATTTAATGTTAAGCAGTCCACATAATTTATTAATTGCTATGACTTCTCAGAGATTGTTGAGCATACTTGGAAATTACTGCTAAATTAATTTTCAAATATAATACTTCTATTAATACAAAACAATAAGTAAGTCAAAATAAAATATTTTATAGGTACTGCATTAAATATTTATTATTACACTATAGCGTATGTTTATACATGTTGAAACTAATCTAAGTAATGGGATACATTATCTTGTTAAGTATTGCTTCCATATTGCACTTACATTCTGAATTACACAGATTATAGTTTTTTGTGTCTTATCTTTCTAAGAAGATCTTGATGGATATAAATGGTATGTTATTTTTGCTGCCTTTTCTATAATTAGTACGTGTTATGGATATTACAAAAACTCATCACATGCAAAATGATAGAATTCTTTAAAAAGTAAGTCTAGGCTTGTGAAAAAAGCACTGATGAATAACTGCTCAAACAAACATTCCTTAGATTAAATGTGTAAACCAAGATAATGTGCCCAGGGCATTTAGAAACAGATTTTTTGCATACATCTATACATATATGTATAAATTCTTATGATAAAATAAAGGAGTAGTCTATATTATAAAATATTTGGAAATTACTTGAAAGATATGAATCAGGGTGATTTTCCATCAATTATAGGACAAACCCAGCTATTTTCCTCTTTGATTTCACCTTCTATTTCTTGTCTCTGTCCCAGCTTCAATCAAGGAAGCTAGCAGTTCTCAACACCTCAAGCATATTTCCATCTCTGAGCATTTGCTGGTCTCTTCTGCCTAAAATACTGTTCTCCCAGATAATTGCATGAATGGCTCTTTAATTTTTTCAGAACTAATCAAGTGTTACTTCCTATCCAAAGTAGAAAACTCCAAGTATATCATATAAATGTTAAACAAAATAAGAAAATACCCTGACTAGACTACCTAAAATAGTCCCCTCTATCTCTATTTTTATACTTGGATTTACTGTGTGTATTATTCATGACACTGAAAACTCAGTCCTTTGTCAGAAAGATTAAATGAGTCCATACATGCAAAAGTGCTTAGACCAGCACTTGGTATCTGGTAATTTCTATATAAGTGTCTATTAAATAAATAGTCAATCTACCACATTTTGCAGAGAGGAAATGGAATTTCAGAAGTAAAGTGCAACATGAGTATTTGAATGGGATCCTCATTTTCTATTACATAGGCTCAGCTTGAATTATGGTAGTTGTATTAGTCAGTTTTCTATTGCTTTAATGAAATATCTGAAGCTGGGTAGTTTATAATGAAAAAAAGTTTATTTGGTTCACATAGTGAAAGCTAAAAGTCCAAAAAGCATGGTACTGGCTCTAGGAAGGACACCTTGGGTTCATCACCTCATGGTGGATGGTATCATGATGGGAATGTATGCAGGAGGAAGAGATCACCTGGTAAGACACAAAGCCAGAGAGCAGGGAGGGGATAGTTTTGCATGTTATAATGATTCATGCTTTAGAGAACTCATTTCTCCAGATCAACATTAATTTCTTCCTTCAGAGGGCAGGAAGCCTAATAACCTAATTGTCTCCCACCCCCCAAAAGGTTCTACACCACCTCCCAGCACCACTATACTGAGAGCAAACTTCCAACACATATAACTATAGGGTTCAAATCAGCTTCCAGCACATGTAACTTTAGGGAACAAACCACCTGCAACTATGGCAGTAGTTAACTGACTCATTCTCTAATCTCATCCTGCCCATTGGCCACTATAATTTTTCACTTTTTTCTTTTTGGTAGTACTGTGGGGGGGGAGGTTGAACTTAAGGCCTCATGCTTGCTAGGCAGATGCTTTACCACTTGAGCCACACCACCAGCCCTTTCGGTTATTTTTGAGATAGGGTCTTTCTTACTTTATACCTGCGCCAACCCACACCATGATCCTCTTATTTTATACTACTTGCCTTTACTGGGATGAGAGTCATACACCACTAAAACCAGCCTTTTCCATTGAAATGAGGTCTCATGAACTTTTTATCTGAGCTGGTCTTGAATGGTGCTCTTCCCAATCCTCTCTCTTCCTAAGTAGCTAGGATTATAGGCTTGAGCCAACACACCTAGTAATTTTCACATTTTTATGTGGATAGAATATGCTACCAGGCACATTTGTGACTCTTCTAAGCAAATCTAAATAGTGAAGACCAAAGATCCAAATTTAAGGTATAATATTAATCTTTTTTTTTTTTTCGCTTCCACTTCAATTGCATGTTTTATTTCTTCCAATCCCAGCAACAGCACAGAAGCCCAATCACATCCATACCAAACTGGTTTCTAGTATGCTAAGATTATGGGGACCTTTGCCAAAGCAAGTGATACAAAGGGCTCCCAAATGTCGGGCACAAAAGTGCCTGCTAAACAGATGGAAGTAAATAGTGCACTGGCCCCAATACTTCATCAGTTTGACTTGCAATGCAATCTGCACCCTTGAAACTGACAGTCTGGAGTGGGGGGAATATGAGGGAGTGAAGTTGAATTTGCCTCCAATTAGTTCACCCTCTCAACATTAAACAGAGACCAAGAGAGAAATGGTTCCAACATTTCACCACATATATTTCTTCTTACACAGTCTAAGCTGAGAATATCCTAAAATTTCTACAACCAATAACCAAGCCCACTAACTACTTTCCAAAAAAAAGTCACTGATGCAAAAGGAGTATGAACTTTCCCTGCAGAGATCCATGCAATAGCAACAGGGACCAACTACATTTATAAAACTTCTCTGGGAGATGGAGGCATGGCTCAGTAGAACAGCTGCCTAGCATGCACAAAGCCCTTTGTTCAAACCCCAGTCCTACAAAAAAAAAAAGACTTATCTCAATGCTAATGCTATATAATCAAGAAGTTATGAAAATTTTGCATTAAACATCACACTGCATATATATATATATATAAAATGTGTGTTTGTTCACATATATAAATAATTCTTTAAATTACTCACAACTGAATTAAATTGACATCCCTGGACATGTGCCATCTTTGTTAACTTGTCAGACTTCCCATTTTGAGCAGCAAGGACCTGAATTTTAGGTTTTTCTTCCACTTCTTTTCTTCAGTTTCATAGTTATGCTTTTGAAAGATACTTTACACAATCAAATTTTGAGAGTTTTAATTGATGAAAGTTTTATTTAAAGATTATTATTTGCATAATTGACTTTCGTTATCTCCTTTGTTTCTATTAAGCATACAATTAACCTCTTTTACCTTATTATCATTTTTTTTCAAGAATAGAATGAAAGGGTTTTTAATCTTTTTACTTCAGATGTGGACAGTTATCAGCTTTGATCATGGGCTGGGACTTGCCACCAGAACCTTATGAAGTACATGTTAATATTGTTCCTTCTGCCAATGATTCTGTCTTAATAAAATAAGAATGTGTAAGTTCTGTTCTCAAGTGTCAAGATCAGTAGTTGTTTGAGCTCTGGTAAGCGAATGAAAGAGATAGCAATGCCCTTATGCCAAATGGGAGTTAAATACAAAAAGATGGGGCGACTTTAGTTCTTCTACCTAGTAATGAAATTAATATACTCTCCACTTTTGTTCATTTCACTACAGAAGGAAATGACAAGGGTTTTCTACTGGGAATCTGATTGCTAATTCTGTTCTTTCTGTTAGCTACACTGTTCTCATTTGGAAAATGAAAGGGATTATTTCCCTCACTGAGGACTTCTTTTTTAATAAGAAAGTATGTGTATAGTATTGGGTAATAAAAAGGAGATCTAGGTTCAGCTCAATACTGATATTTTTTTTTCTTACCTGGCACTTCTATCTACCCCAATGAATCTTCTAAGAGACTTAGAAAACAAAAGACTTCAAGGGAGGAAAGATTAATCAACTGTCTTGAATCTCCCTATTATCTTCACTAAAGAAACATCTTCCTTTGAAAAGACTCTGATGTCAGGGATGACTGTCATTACATTAAGAAGAAAGGAATGGAGGAAGGAAATAAGAGAAGAGGGATAGAGAGAACATTGACGAAAGAGCATTGGAGAGGAAAAAGGGGGCTTCCTCAATGTGATTGACATTCTGATGTCAGCATCTATTTGTCTTGCCTTGCATTCTACTCTATAACTATATGTCTACCTTTTGTTCCCAGCCCCATTTTCCTCCCATCTGAGGATAAATGTTTGGTCTTCAGTGTAATTCACTATATTGCTATTAATATGACTATATTAATAGTAATGCTAAGGATAAAATGTGAAGTTTTCATTGACTTGGCAATCAGCAAATCACCTATCTGAAATCAATCAATATAGGCTTCATTCCTGATGGCCCAATTTAGTTTATTACCTTAGTAACTTCCTGTTAGCCTCAGTTTTTAATTTATGACATGGGAATAATGTAATATTCCTTGCTGAACTCTCTGGGCTCTATAAAAGGACTTAATGAGATGCTAGAAAGCATCCTTGCCAACATTTGTCTTCCTACCTTATATTCTAGAATTTGAGCTCCATCTGGGCAATGTTTGTTCACTGCTGTGTCCCCATGCATAGAGTACTTCCCAAATTGTAGGTGCAGGACAGATGTAATAAATACTCAAAAGAAAGTAAACACTGGATGAGTTGCCTTGAATTCAAGTATTAGCTCAGCAACTTGCTTGCTGTTTGATTCAGATAAGGTTTTATCTAGTTTCTAACAGACATTTTCTGGGAGACTCAACAGTCTAACATCTTTCTGACAAGGTAGTCCTAAAACTTATACTCATTACTAAGGACATGTTCTCCCCGATCACCATTTTGCAATCTTACCCTTAGAAATAATGTTTTCCTACATTTCTAGAGTTGAAAAATAGTGACTTGTTTAAATCGTGTTATGTAAAAAGAATTATTTTTGGTCTTTGTCCCCAGTTCCTGCCACATAGTTCTAAAATCTTTGGAGATTCTTAAGTAATTCTTGATATTTATAACAAGCCCCTTTTAGAGCGTGCCTTTTTCTATCTTCATGATGTGATTTAAGGTAGGCCCTACACAGCCTCAGAAAGTAGTCACCAGAAAGACCAACTGATAGATTTGGAACTTTTAGCTCCACCCACTGACTTCCATGAAAGCAAGGGAGAGTTGGAGTCAGGAAGAAGATATAATGAACACATATGTACAGATATGGGGCGTGTGGTTTTCTGAAGAGGGCATGAATCTCCACGCACCCTCTTCTCCTCCATATCTTGCTCGATGCATCTCTTTAACTTTTCATTATCCATATGAGGTTGAAATTATTATTATTTCAATGATACTAATGTTTAACTCACTGTTTGGGGGTGTTTCTTGACTCATATATAAGCAAACAGCTAGTGAATAGCACAGACAGAACTCAGTAATGCCTGATTCCAAGCCACTCTTTCTCAAAGAGTGCTCCTTCCTCCACTCCTTCTCTCATGCATATTAACAATCAGAACCTAATTAAGAGAAAATATCTTAATGACAAAAAATGATAATAATCAAGATGTTTTATAAGAACATAATTGTTGATTTAACATAAAATAGTGTCTCCTTATTAGAAGACATAATAATCCTTAGATTATTATCAAATGCAGTGCAACTTCCCAGACTAAGTACTTAACAATGTTGCATGAATGAACCAGGATATAAAATATTAATAAATATTGTCATGTACCCAACAAATGGTAGGCACTAATCAAGAACATATTGACAAAAGAAAACAAAACAAATAAACAAAAAACATGAGTCCTAATTCTGAAAGGTCTCAATCTAGTGCATGAACTAGATTCTAAATAAATACATACATACTCACACAGAAATAAGTATATATAAATTATGATAAGAAGCATAAAGGGGAAAACAAGATGCAATATGAAAAAATAAGAATGTCTTTATAAAGAAAAGGTGTTTCTAAAGAAATGATAAGTAACAAGAGCAGATGATTCCCAACTGTACAACCCCCACTTCTCCAGTAAGAAACCCAACCACATCTAAACTAATACCACCTACTTAAATATATCTCATTACTAGTGAGTGAAAACTAGATCCAGTTTTATCTATTCATTAAAGCATGAGAAAACATTCTGATGAGATGAAGATATCCTAGTTCTTGATCAGTGCAGTGGTTATTATTTGGATTGTTTCAGCTCTTGAATTTTACAATTAACCTGTGTGAGTAGTGTAGAACATAAATTATCCCAAAACAAAGTTGACTTAAAAATATAACTAGATTTTTAAGTTAATGAGTCAATAAGAAAACAAAGTAAAGGTGAATTAATATTACTTGATAATTATCTGCAACTATGATTTAGTGATTTTACATGTCTAAGACACATATATCATTGGCTCAGTAGCTGCATATAGATTACTTTTACATCTGTAACAATAGCTATCTCTGACTTGTCAAGTATATCAGACATTTTTTGAAACTAATGTTGCTAAGGTAGAAAAGTAAAGAAGATAAAAGCTTTTTCAATGATGTGCTAGGTTGGATTTTTTTCTTTTTACTTTGCATTTCAGAGGTTTTATAGCACAACTGAATAATAACAGGAGCATCACAGTAATGTCTTTTGTTTGTAAAATCCTCTGCTCTGAAGAAACCAAATTGCCTTGCATTCATGTCTTCATTAAATAGTTTCTACCTGAGAGAAGTCAAATGTGCATTATCCACATTTTACAAAGAGGAAATGAGTGCAGGAAGGTTTAAGGAATGGAAGACTTGTGTATATATCTAAGTCTACCAGGGCTGTGATCATAAACTCCATCGTGAGGCATTTTTTTTTGTTTTTACTTTTGTAGTATTCAAAGCAAACCTGCTTCAGTTCTGTGTGCATATGTCTACATCTTAATAGCAGGGAGAAGTAGAAGCTGTTCATAAACAACAAAGTTAAAAATATCAGTTATGCAGTTTCTTTATTCCACACTTGATAAATTGATACATAAAGTGATTTAAGTAGATAATTATTAAATAATACAAGACTTCAGGGTAAACACCCATTATGCATGGATGTGAATTAAGATTTCACAATAAAAGGTTCTTCCTTTGCTATTTGCCAAACAATTCTAAACCTGCCTGCACTGAAAGAAATAGTTTAATTTTGCAGTCACCTGCTGGATTTGAACAATGGGGAGGCTATTTGCTCACTGTGTGTGGCAGCATTGTAGAGGGTAAGGCAGAAAATGTGGAAGCAGTAACCTGAGATAGAATACAACTTAGGTATTTACTAGGCAGGCAATTTGGGCCTTCATGAAGAGTTGTAAGGATGAGAGAAAATGTGTGTGAACACTCACATGTTGTCTGGCAGACGTAGGGATTGGAAAAAAGATGGTAACTTATTGTTATAATGGCTCTGCAAGTTATAAAAACTAAGTTTGATAAAATAAAAGTAAAAAATATATTTCTCAGTTCCAAATACTTACATTTTCCAGACCACTAAAAATATTTTGCTATGTGACTTACATTAATGCACAGAAATTTAGCGATGGTCCAAACCCTGATACCAAGAGAGGGGAAAGGAAGGTATGGAGTGTGGACATGGTGCCAGAGTGAGATTAAGACTTTATTTCCTCCCAATTCAGAAATTTGTGGTACCTTCCATATATAGTTTAAAATGAAAAATTAGTCAACTGCACTATAAAATCCTAGATGTCTGTTGAATTAAAATATTTCTAAGTGTTCTGACTCCAAAACTCTACATGCATTTATGAAAAGTGAGGAAGCTCAGACACTCAGTTTACTGATTTTCTGGAAGACAATTATCTTCCCTGCTGGGTGATGCAGCACTGGGGAGGGGGGGTTGGAGGGGAGCGGAGACTGTGGAATCCTCCAGGAGATGGGGTAAAAGTTGAAGATATTGATGCCTACAGTCTCCAAGTAAGTGCAAATGTTGCCTCTTTGCCATGGTTTTCAAACTTTTATGGAAAGCCTAATTCTCAAACCTTTGTAGAAAGTAGGGATCTAACCCAGACAGGTCAAGAGAGTTAAGAATGTCTAAAGGGAAACCAATGCTTAGTTTCTAATCCATGCTTAAAAATCTCTGAAAATGTAAAATAAAAATATTTGGAGACAAATATGATTATATTGTCTTTATGATATACCTCTTCTTAGGTAATGTGGTGAGTGCTATGCATAAAATATAATTTCATAAACATAAAGAAAAAATTACATATTTTGAATCTAATATTTTTATATTTGAAGTAACATAACCACTTTAGATAGATATCACCTAAGGCTGGCCTAAGATAAGAGTCTAAAGGATACATAACCAAGAGCCCAAGAACCTGAGGATGGATAGAGCTGCACATGTGTTTTTAAGGTAAATTATAAATATGCCAATTACACTCCAGGAAACAGTAAAAGTAATTACCTTTCTTGAACCCTGACATTGAGAATATTAAAAAAAAAATCTCCACAAGAATTTAAGTAACCCTCCAAATAAGCAGGTGCTTCTATGAGGTTTGCAGCCTAAATTTATTCTACTTGGGGTATTCAAACAAACCTTTAAGCTAAATGTTTGAAGGTGAAGTTTAGTAAAACTTCTTAATGCTTGACAGGAGAAAATGTGAATTATCTGGTTGAATTCACCCTTTGCCAGGGCATCATCAAATAATTCAAACAGGTGACCTTCAAGGGATATGCGTGCAGAGTAAAAACTCACAAAATATACAAGGAAACACCTTAGAAAGACATGTCACAGTTGAGAATCATGTATTACCAACCTCATTAACCAGCAAGTTATCCATTAAAATGAAGAGTAAGGTACAGAATTGGCAAAAGTTAAAAATCCTATGTCAAGTTTTAACAAAGATGTGGAAAAAACAGAATTTTTTTGAATTTACTGATTTTTTTACATATTCATGTTCAGGAATTATTCTAAGAAATTCCTACCTATCTTATAAAGAGCCTTCCAGCACAGTTGTTTTACTGTTATTTTATTTTATTTTTGAGGTAGGATCTCACTACATAATTTGAGGTGGTCTTGAACTCATGAACATCCTGCCTCAGTCTCCTTAATGCTGGGATTACAGTCATCTACCCATGATAACTGACAAGCATAGTTTGTTTTTAAAATTAAAAGTCCCAGATTGAAAAATCTGTGACAAATTCTCATATACCACATAATGTATTGCTCTGTTAATTGAGGTAAACAACTAAGATTATTATTGAAATTACATATATCAATAAAAGTGTCCTTATCTTTAACATTATCCACTGGATTGTATATTTGTCTGATTTTCATAATTACTTAAGATACTTATTTTCAATAGCTATGAGTAGGGAGAGGATCTGTACAATTTTAGTGAAAGATGAAGCAAAGGAAAGTGGAGTAACACAGGCAAGCTCACACATACAAGCCCCTTTTCTCAGTTGTCCTACTAGCAAACAAAGGAACAAGCTAGAAAACTGGCCTGTCACGTGCACAGCACAGTCAAAAGGCATAGCTAGACCCAAGAGGATAAACTTGCACAGCTTTTCATCACTGTAAGACTAGTTTGTCCCTCCTCTTTAAAACAAAAACACTATATACCCCATCAAATCCTTGCCAACAGGTGATCCTTGGGCAGTCAGAAAGACGG